TAGATTATGTTACTCACACATAGATGAGTTGTGGCGGTATAGATTATGTTACTCACACATAGATGAGTTGTGGCGGTATAGATTATGTTACTCACACATAGATGAGTTGTGGCGGTATAGATTATGTTACTCACACATAGATGAGTTGTGGCGGTATAGATTATGTTACTCACACATAGATGAGTTGTGGCGGTATAGATTATGTTACTCACACATAGATGAGTTGTGGCGGTATAGATTATGTTACTCACACATAGATGAGTTGTGGCGGTATAGATTATGTTACTCACACATAGATGAGTTGTGGCGGTATAGATTATGTTACTCACACATAGATGAGTTGTGGCGGTATAGATTATGTTACTCACACATAGATGAGTTGTGGCGGTATAGATTATGTTACTCACACATAGATGAGTTGTGGCGGTATAGATTATGTTACTCACACATAGATGAGTTGTGGCGGTATAGATTATGTTACTCACACATAGATGAGTTGTGGCGGTATAGATTATGTTACTCACACATAGATGAGTTGTGGCGGTATATAGATTATGTTACTCACACATTATATACTTGACTAACAGTTCTCTATATATGGTCACACGCGTGTAATATATCTTACTATATAAAGTTCGCATTTGTTAGTTCACATATAAAACACATGTGGTGTCCATGGTATTAATTGTAAATAGAGGTCCGGAATTTGGACCTGTTGGTAATGTTATGGTTGTTCAATGATGTTTTAAAGCTGTTAAGGTTCATTGCTGTAGCAATCACTTCCGGTAGACTGGTCCATATTGTTATTTTTCTAATACTGAAGACATTTTTATTTACTTCAAGACGAAACGGTTTATTGAACAGCTTTTTGGATGCTCCCTTGTCCCCATATTTGATGCCGGTTTACGCATATTTTCATTGTCTACATTTTTGATGTTATTTAGGATTTTGTAGATTTCGATGAGGTCTGCTCTCTCCCTTCTATATTCGAGCGTAAGTAGTCCGTTTTGTAGCCCTTCTTTGTACATTTTCAATGGAGATTTTGTCTTTGATGAAGATTGGGGACCATATAGGTGTTCCATACTCTAAATGTGGTCTGACGAGCGATTTGTACAATAGTGTAAACATTACTGCGTCCATATAAGTGAAAGTACGGAAGATAGTACCCAGGATTGTGTTAGCCTTTGTAACTGCTATGTTAACACATGGTCTGAAAATCTCAGTTTATTGTCTATGGTGACGCCAAGATCCTTCTCGTTTTCGACTTTCTCTATTTCAGTTGTATTATCTGGAAAATGTAGATTGTAGATGTGGTTACTTCCCCTGAATTTTCCAATTTCCATGTGCTTACACTTATTGGTGTTTAATTTCATCAACCAGTCGTTGGTCCACTTACACATGTTGTCTATGTTGTCCTGAAAAGTTTACGATCTTCGTTGTTGGAGAATTTTGAGTATAATTTTGTATCGTCCGCAAAGAGTTTGATGGTACAATCGATTACTTCAGACATGTCATTGGCATATATCAAAAATAAAATTGGTCCTAGAACACTACCCCGAGGTAGCTAGCTAGCCCACTGGTGACTGACCTACTTTTTGATATTTTTCCATTTACTACCACTTCTTGTTTCATGTCACTTAGAAAATTCTTTCCCTTGTATGCCATAGTACTTGAATTTATATAGTAGCAGACGATGAGAGACCTTTTCGAGATGCTTTGGCAAAATCCAAGTATATCACGTCGATATGTTTACCTTGATCTAAGGTTTGTGTCCAATCTTCAAGGACTTCTAGGAGCTGAATAGTACATGATCGTCCAGGTCTAAAGCCATGCTAGTGTTTTGAAAAATGATCATATGATCTTATATTTCATTTCTTATGAACCGTTGGAGAATTTTCCACGGAACTGAAGTAAAGCTTATTGGTCGATGGTTCCCTGGTTCCTTTTTTGATCCTTTTTAAATATTGGCCTTACAATCACAGTTTTCCATTGGTTAGGTAGCTTTCCTTCATTGGACGATGTGTTGTATAGTACCGTCAAAGGCTTTTTAATGGAGTTTGCAGTCCTGGCTATACGTTGTGGATGGATGTTATCAGGTTCCTGTGTTTTATTTGGATTTGTCTCCTTAATTGCCATGAGTACAACAGACTCGGAAAAAGTGATGTCAGTTAAATGTTCTTGTAAAACTGTTGGCGATAGATATGGAATTGGTGCGTTCGAGTCTTGAACAAACACGCTGGCAAAAAATTGTTGAAGACTTCAGCCGTTTCCTCATCCGTTTCGGTAAATTGACCTTCCTGATTTAACAATCTACTGGTGACAGTTGCCGCTTTAGTTTTAGACCGGACATATTTCCAAAAACGTTTTGGATTCGATTTGATTTTAGCAGCTAGGTCCTTCTCAAACTGGTATCTAGTGTTCCTTATCCTTGATACTACGTAGTTCCTAGCCACTGTGTAGTTAAAGAAATTTTGATCTGTTTTACAATGAAGGTATTTGTTCCACAGGCGCTTCTTTCTTTTGATCGCTTGTTTCGCCTTGATGTTGAGATAAGTTTTGTTCTGGTTTTTTTTCGGTTAAGATATATTCCACACTGTTACGCTGTTTATTTCTATTGATAAGAAGATGGTCATTTACATTTATAAACAAAGACATGTTTATTCAATTGTATAAAAGTTTAGTGCGACCACACTTGGAATATGCCACCTGCATATGGTCTCCAATGCTCAAAAAGGATCAAATTGCCATCGAAAATGTCCAACGCAGGGCAACAAGACGCCTACCGTTCCTAAAAGGAAAATCATACAGTGAGAGACTTTGTATGTTGGGCCTCCCCAGTCTAGAGTTCCGACGATTGAGAGGAGATGTCATACAAACTTACAAAATCTTGTATCGCATTGACATTCTGGATAAGGACAACATTATTAAAATGGCAACATTGGCTACAACAAGAGGAAATTCCAAAAAACTCTTCAAGAGAAGGATGAGGCTCAATGTAACGAGGAACATGTACAGCAGTAGGGTCGTGGACGTGTGGAACTCTCTACCAAATATAGTTGTAGAGGCCCCCTCCTTAAATAGTTTTAAAGCTCGGTTAAACAATCACTGGCGTCATCGTCACCAAAAATGTGTACCAACCTGTTACTCACAACCGAACGTGATTAGAGAACAGTATATAGATGCGTCTCAAGAAGTTGGATCAGCTTACGTCGACGTTGACACTACATGATAACTACATGACAACTACATGATAACTACATGAAGACAGAAAGTTTATCCAAAGCTTTCAAAATTCCAGTTACTCAGATCTTGGTTAGTTATACTGTTTGATATCTACTCCCTCTTGTGATGGTGTGGTGGCGTTATAAGTACACATATCAAAAAATTAGGTCAAATGGTCACTTTTACCTAATGATGGTAGATAGCTAATGTCATCAATCATTTCCTCCTCCTTTGTGAAGATAAGGTCCAAAATATTTGGGATTTGTCCTTCGCAGTATCTAGTTAGGTGTTAACATGTTGATAGACGAAGCCGTCCCTGGTTGTTTCAAGAAATGGCTGGATGATTTTCCCTTGTGGTTGTTGATCCAAGTTCCCAGTTTATTTCCTTAAAATTAAAGTCACCCAGAATTAGTAAATGGGAATAATGTAGAGAATACATAGCCAGTTCAAACGAAAAGTGACACATCATGCGACAGTGATCAAGACGCGTCTTCAGATTATATCTAAATTAATCTACAAAGTAATTAGCGACATCAGAAGATATGTAACAACCATGCAATATTTACGATAATTATGCAACAGATTTTATTTAAATGTGGAAAGATCAATCACAAAGACAGGACTTCCAACGAAAGTATTTCCATAACATTAGATATTCGAAAGAACTTTTTTTTTAATTTTGCTTTGCGAATTGTAAGAATATTTGATTTTAGCCCCCACTGTTAACACTTTTAAAAATAGACTAAAAATGCATCGGTGAAAACATCAGGAACCCCTCTATAAGTATAGATATGAGATACGTTAATGATCCAAGTAACGTCACATTCGGTATCGGTAAATAAGCTTAACTTAAGCCAGTTCTACCCTTAGGATTTCTACGACGCAATCTACAACACTGTCCCAGAGAATATAGAAAGACAGCATACATTGCTCTTGTCAGATCCATCTTGGAATATGTAGCAATAATCTGGGACCCGTACTACATAAAGACGAGCATTAACAAATTGGAAAGCATCCAACGGAGAGGGGCACATTTCATCCAGAAGGCTTACAGAACAAGGGAAGAGGGATTCATGACCAAACTACTCAATGAGCTACAACTTCCACCACTAGCATCAAGACGAAAACAACAGAGACTAACATTCTATTATAAAATTGTAGAGGAGCAAATTCCATATCAATGCCTAGCAAAGACTTTATTAAAATTTCCAACGTGAAAAATGGAAAACAAGACAGCGTATATTCCAGGACTGCGAGACATCAAGACCAATTCCAAATTCAATCAGGAATAATAACAGAGCAGTCATAATACCAAAATTCAACACGGAACATAAAGAAGCTCATTCTTTATGTGAACAGCCACAGATTGGAACCACCTGGACGACATCACAGTCGGGGCGCAAGCAATAGAGGCATTTAAAGCATCAATCCCTACCAACTGGGATTAAACGAAGCTAAGTATCGCATGCGTTCTCAACCCCCTCCGCATTACAGCCATTTTGGTCTCTGTGGAGTATATAACCACGGAATTAGATTATATATATAGAACTTAAAATACATTAATTTGACCTTGACCAACTACACAAATAGCTCCAAGAAAAAAAAACAATAAAATAATGGGGGAAAAATGCTTATTAATTATTGTTTTAAAAAGTATTTATATAGATAATAGCCTTTGATATCAACTACAATTTAACATTATGTTTTCTTAACCTTAACGAATTATATATTACGTACATGCATCCTTAATTTATGGTCGGCGAAAAGACGGAAGTAACAAATTCCCTTGACACCGGCAAGATGTCCGCCACCACTGACGTGATGTGTTTCGTCGAGTCGATCAAAGTTTTATGGTATGTGTCTGCTGTTAGCTTATCTGTATACAGCTTAAGTTAAATTTTAAAGACCTTCTGCTATTTACACATTTTTTTCCGAAGTCATCGACACAATTGTAAAATTGGTGTCAAATAACATCACAAAACGTGATTTTCAATGACGATCTTGATGACATTTAGACATGATCATCGCAAAAATGTTTGACTTTGAACAATACTTGAACTAATGAATGGAGATCGGAACGCCAATTCGACTTTGTTAATAGTGTGATATGATTCAACTTTCAAGTCAAATAATATCAACCAGGATAGTGTGATAGCTATATAGCTACGATTATCAGATTACTATTAGACATGACGTATGTCTTGAATAGCGGGGGTGCGGTCCAGTTCTTTTTTTGTAGTTTGCATTGAGAAAGATGTGATTTATTATGTGTAACCTGTAAAATGTAGGTTTTACTTCAAATAACGAGTACATGTAAGCTACATTTGTAATTAAAACAAGTCCTGGAATGTTTTCCTACCTTGTACATGATTTTCATTTAAAAGTTGCAGTTGATTCCGCTGGGAATAATTTTAACATAAATAAGAAATTCATTAGTTGCATATTAAATTTGTTAGTTGTTAATTTGTGTATAATTCAACCTTTTCCTTGTTATTTTATAAAACTTAAAATCTGAAATATTTCGTTCCTGGATCTGGAATAATTTTACAATTTTTGAAAAATCTCATTGTTGTGGAAAATTTCCGTTTTATTCACCACAAGGCATGTAAAACTTGATAAGGGAAATTACAATAGGAAAAACTCCTTTCGGTTGTTTCATCTTGTTTAAAGAGGGGAGAATACTCAAAAATGAAAACAAATAAAACGATGAATGGAATTCTTCTTCTCTAGTATATTGTATCAATTCCATAAGCTAGGCTTGCACTCTAAGGTTGGGCAGTGGGCAAGTTCTGAACCGAGATGAGGGGTTCATAAACTATCGCACATCTATGAACAGCTATTAAGCAAAGTGTAGCTAAATCAAATTGTTGGCATGATTAATCATTTCATACAGTTATAACAACTAAGTGTAAATACGTTTATTGCATATCCAAATTGACTTTGATTTTATATTGCCAACTCATACATAATTTACACCTTACATATGCTTCTCTGGTCTTTGGTCTGATGAAGGCGACGGGGTATGAACCATACTGGTCATTGAAACATCACACAAATTGTGACAATGACATAACTCTTTCTGGTTGTAATGCATGTACATAAACCTACAATTATGTTGAGGAAGTTTTTAAGTTACAGTGATTCAATATGGCTTGAATAGAAACAACTTTATATCTAAGAGATGGGCGGATTGGTCGAGTGGTTGAAGCTCTGGCTTTCCAAGCAGGCGGCCGGGGTTCGATCCCCGAAGTCGCCGTACGCATGGAATATTAGAAAAAGTGTTTTTCTCCTGCCCACACAACTCCAACAACCCAGGTGGAGTATAAAATGGTCTGGGGTGGGTGTTGCAGTATCTGTGCTGTAGCATTCAAGTGAGGTGGCAAGTATAAATGATACCGTTGGAAGCACGATCCCACTACAATCAGAACACAATACATTCCCAGCACACACACACACAGGCATACACACATAGGGAGATATTAGCCAGGTGGCATAGGACAAGTAGTTAGCGCCTGATAAGGCAGCTCCTGCGAATTCCTCAATATTGTATTGATTAATATATATGCTAATTGTATTGACTGTATTAAATTGTATATCTATGTACTGTAACGCGCTTTAGAGTGGCTTATGTTAGCTAGATAGGGCGCTATATCAAATGTTGTATATTTATTTATTTATATTTTAAGAAAAGAACAGCCCATTTTTCCCTTTAAATATTATATTCTTTAAGGTAAAAGATAGCTTGTATCAGCTGGGTACAAGATTATTTAGCCATCATACAGCATGGTTTAATGGTTTAACAAATACAAATTAAATCTAAGGTTGAAAATGTGGAGATGATGGTACGCTCTTAACACACTGAAATCTGCCTAATTGAACATGTCTTGTTTATAATGTATTTGTTCTTATACACGTTGTATCAAGCTTCTATTATCAGTTTGTACACGTTGTATCAATCTTCTATTATCAGTTTATACACGTTGTGTCAATCTTCTATTATCAGTTTATACACGTTGTGTCAATCTTCTATTATCAGTTTATACACGTTGTATCAATCTTCTATTATCAGTTTATACACGTTGTTTCAAGTTTCTATTATCAGTTTGTACACGTTGTTTCAAGCTTCTATTATCAGGTTGTACACGTTGTATCAATCTTGTATTATCAATTGGACATGTTGTGTCAAGCTTATATTATCAGTTTGTACACGTTGTGCAAAGCTTCTATTATCAGTTTATACACGTTGTTTCAAGTTTCTATTATCAGTTTGTACACGTTGTGCAAAGCTTCTATTATCAGTTTATACAAGTTGTGTCAAGCTTCTATTATCAGTTTATACAAGTTGTATCAAGCTTATATTATCAGTTTGTACACGTTGTTTCAAGCTTCTATTATCAGTTTATACACGTTGTGTGAAGCTTCTATTATCAATTTGTTCATGTTGTGTCAAGCTTCTATTATCATTTTGTACACGTTGTGTCAAGCTTCTATTATCAGTTTGTACACGTTGTATCAATCTTCTATTATCAGTTTGTACACATTGTGTCAATCTTCTATTATCAGTTTGTACACGTTGTGTCAAGCTTCTATTATCAGGTTGTACACGTTGTATCAATCTTCTATTATCAATTGGACATGTTGTGTCAAGCTTATATTATCAGTTTGTACACGTTGTGTCAAGCTTCTATTATCAGTTTGTACATGTTGTGTCAAGCTTCTATTATCAGGTTGTACACGTTGTATCAATCTTGTATTATCAATTGGACATGTTGTTTCAAGCTTCTTTTATCAGTTTGTACACGTTGTGTCAAGCTTCTATTATCAGTTTATAAACGTTGTGTCAAGCTTCTGTTATCAGTTTATACACGTTGTGTCAAGCTTCTATTATCAGTTTGTACACGTTGTGTCAATCTTCTATTATCAGTTTATACACGTTGTATCAAGCTTCTATTATCAGTTTTTACACGCTGTATCAATCTTCTATTATCAGTTTATACACGTTGTATAAAGCTTCTATTATCAGTTTGTACACGTTGTGTAAAGCTTCTATTATCAGTTTATACACGTTGTAACAAGCTTCTATTATCAGTTTGTACACGTTATGTCAAGCTTCTATTATCAGTTTGTACACGTAGTGTCAAGCTTCTATTATCAGTTTATACAAGTTGTATCAATCTTTTATTATCAGTTTGTACACTTTGTGTCAAGCTTCTATTATCAGTTTGTACACGTAGTGTCAAGCTTCTATTATCAGTTTATACACGTTGTATCAATCTTCTATTATCAGTTTGTAAACGTTGTGTCAAGCTTCTATTATCAGTTTAAACAAGTTGTATCAATCTTCTATTATCAGTTTTTACACGTTGTGTCAAGCTTCTATTATCAGTTTATACACGTTGTAACAAGTTTCTATTATCAGTTTGTACACGTTGTGTCAAGCTTCTATTATCAGTTTTTACACGTTGTATCAAGCTTCTATTATCAGTTTTTACACGTTGTATCAATCTTCTATTATCAGTTTATACACGTTGTGTCAAGCTTCTATTATCAGTTTGTACACGTTGTGTCAAGCTTCTATTATCAGTTTATACAAGTTGTATCAATCTTCTATTATCATTTTGTACACGTTGTGTCAAGCTTCTATTATCAGTTTTTACACGTTGTATCAACCTTCTATTATCAGTTTATACACGTTGTGTCAAGCTTCTATTATCAGTTTGTACACGTTGTATATCAAGCTTCTATTATCAGTTTGTACACGTTTTATTAAGCTTCTATTATCAGTTTGTACATTTTTTTTAATTTTTTTTCTTCTATTTAGATCAACAAAGGTTGGTGTTTAGTTTCACAGTGACAAAATGAGACTTTATTGGACAGCATGGGGTAGATGATGGTGAATTCGAAAACCCCATTCATCAAGCGAGCGACTCAATTTCTTAGTGAAGTGCTTCCAAAGTGGAAAAGTTTTAGTTTTAGCGACCAAATGAAGACCAAAAATTTCTATATATGTCTCCTATTCATTGCTGCTACTTCCACTTCTATATGGCTCCTGTCCAATCCCTCCCCAAACCTGCATACCATCGTCACGCAGACCCACAAACAAATCAACAACATCAAAAACATCCCAACTAACATAAGGACTTCTAATGAAGAGGAATTAAAAGTGGATCATGTGTACCTGGAACGACTTGGATTTTACGACAAGGAGGCTAAGGTTGTTAGCAGTGAGATGAAGGAGACGCCGATCATTGGGACCTCAGCATTGCCAGGCCACTATGAAGAAGCTCTCAAGTTTGTTAAATCTACCCAAAAGATTCTTCCTCAACAAAAAATTCTTATCTATGATCTGGGAATCAGTACGACAGAATCTCAACAGGTATGTTATTGTACTTAGCTATCTCAACAGGTATGTTATTGTACGTAGCTATCTCAACAGGTATGTTATTGTACGTAGCTATCTCAACAGGTATGTTATTGTACGTAGCTATCTCAACAGGTATGTTATTGTACGTAGCTATCTCAACAGGTATGTTATTGTACGTAGCTATCTCAACAGGTATGTTATTGTACGTAGCTATCTCAACAGGTATGTTATTGTACGTAGCTATCTCAACAGGTATGTTATTGTACGTAGCTATCTCAACAGGTATGTTATTGTACGTAGCTATCTCAACAGGTATGTTATTGTACGTAGCTATCTCAACAGGTATGTTATTGTACGTAGCTATCTCAACAGGTATGTTATTGTACGTAGCTATCTCAACAGGTATGTTATTGTACGTAGCTATCTCAACAGGTATGTTATTGTACGTAGCTATCTCAACAGGTATGTTATTGTACGTAGCTATCTCAACAGGTATGTTATTGTACGTAGCTATCTCAACAGGTATGTTATTGTACGTAGCTATCTCAACAGGTATGTTATTGTACGTAGCTATCTCAACAGGTATGTTATTGTACGTAGCTATCTCAACAGGTATGTTATTGTACGTAGCTATCTCAACAGGTATGTTATTGTACGTAGCTATCTCAACAGGTATGTTATTGTACGTAGCTATCTCAACAGGTATGTTATTGTACGTAGCTATCTCAACAGGTATGTTATTGTACGTAGCTATCTCAACAGGTATGTTATTGTACGTAGCTATCTCAACAGGTATGTTATTGTACGTAGCTATCTCAACAGGTATGTTATTGTACGTAGCTATCTCAACAGGTATGTTATTGTACGTAGCTATCTCAACAGGTATGTTATTGTACGTAGCTATCTCAACAGGTATGTTATTGTACGTAGCTATCTCAACAGGTATGTTATTGTACGTAGCTATCTCAACAGGTATGTTATTGTACGTAGCTATCTCAACAGGTATGTTATTGTACGTAGCTATCTCAACAGGTATGTTATTGTACGTAGCTATCTCAACAGGTATGTTATTGTACGTAGCTATCTCAACAGGTATGTTATTGTACGTAGCTATCTCAACAGGTATGTTATTGTACGTAGCTATCTCAACAGGTATGTTATTGTACGTAGCTATCTCAACAGGTATGTTATTGTACGTAGCTATCTCAACAGGTATGTTATTGTACGTAGCTATCTCAACAGGTATGTTATTGTACGTAGCTATCTCAACAGGTATGTTATTGTACGTAGCTATCTCAACAGGTATGTTATTGTACGTAGCTATCTCAACAGGTATGTTATTGTACGTAGCTATCTCAACAGGTATGTTATTGTACGTAGCTATCTCAACAGGTATGTTATTGTACGTAGCTATCTCAACAGGTATGTTATTGTACGTAGCTATCTCAACAGGTATGTTATTGTACGTAGCTATCTCAACAGGTATGTTATTGTACGTAGCTATCTCAACAGGTATGTTATTGTACGTAGCTATCTCAACAGGTATGTTATTGTACGTAGCTATCTCAACAGGTATGTTATTGTACGTAGCTATCTCAACAGGTATGTTATTGTACGTAGCTATCTCAACAGGTATGTTATTGTACGTAGCTATCTCAACAGGTATGTTATTGTACGTAGCTATCTCAACAGGTATGTTATTGTACGTAGCTATCTCAACAGGTATGTTATTGTACGTAGCTATCTCAACAGGTATGTTATTGTACGTAGCTATCTCAACAGGTATGTTATTGTACGTAGCTATCTCAACAGGTATGTTATTGTACGTAGCTATCTCAACAGGTATGTTATTGTACGTAGCTATCTCAACAGGTATGTTATTGTACGTAGCTATCTCAACAGGTATGTTATTGTACGTAGCTATCTCAACAGGTATGTTATTGTACGTAGCTATCTCAACAGGTATGTTATTGTACGTAGCTATCTCAACAGGTATGTTATTGTACGTAGCTATCTCAACAGGTATGTTATTGTACGTAGCTATCTCAACAGGTATGTTATTGTACGTAGCTATCTCAACAGGTATGTTATTGTACGTAGCTATCTCAACAGGTATGTTCATTGTACGTAGCTATCTCTACAGGTATGTTATTGTACGTAGCTATCTCTACAGGTATGTTATTGTACGTAGCTATCTCAACAGGTATGTTATTGTGCGTAGCTATCTCAACAGGTATGTTCATTGTACGTAGCTGTCTCAACAGGTATGTTCATTGTACGTAGCTGTCTCAACAGGTATGTTCATTGTACGTAGCTGTCTCAACAGGTATGTTCATTGTACGTAGCTGTCTCAACAGGTATGTTCATTGTACGTAGCTGTCTCAACAGGTATGTTCATTGTACGTAGCTGTCTCAACAGGTATGTTCATTGTACGTAGCTGTCTCAACAGGTATGTTCATTGTACGTAGCTGTCTCAACAGGTATGTTCATTGTACGTAGCTGTCTTTTGCAAACGGTGAGAGATGTACATACATGCACCATAATTACTGGTGACAGTGACATCCCCATATACACCATATGGTTAAAGGAGCCAAAACAAAACAATAATTCTATCCCATATTTGTGATGTTGATTGTTAACAGTTGAGTGATCCTATAGGTTTTAGAATTTCAAGGAAATCTTTTCTCACAAAACTTCCTATGTCTTTCTTAAGCTTGGTGTCTTGGAAGTTGAGGGAGGTTGTGTCCATTCTTGCCAATATTTCCAACATATTTTTTAAAACACCTTCCAGGAGGAGGCATGATTAGACTTAGATATATTATATAGATTGTCATTTAGATTTTTCACTATAATATTGAAAGGAGTGACAGACCTTTTTAGCTCACCTGGCCTGAAGGTAAACAACTTCTTCTGAATAACCAAAAGGCCCAGGGTACTGAAATTGGGCCTGTAGCATGCTGGGATAAACATCTACCAAGTTTGTACAATTAATTGACTTTGACCCACTTTCAAGGTCACAGGGGTCAAATGTCGTAAAATCTTCAAACGACTTCTTCTCAATAACCAAAAGACACAGGGTACTGAAGTTGGGCCTGTAGCATGCTGGGATGAAGGGCTACCAAGTTTGTTTAAATGAATGACCTTGACCCACTTTCAAGGTCACAGGGGTCAAAAAAAGGCCCAGGGTACTGAAATTGGGCCTGTAGCATGCTGGGATGAAGAACTCCCAAGTTTGTTCAAATGAATGACCTTGACCCACTTTCAACCTAATGTCCTTGTTCTACATTCAAGGTCACAGGCGTCATATGTTTAAATCTTTTAATAGGTTCTTATGAATCAAACACTGATATTCTGCCTGAAGCTGTATTTTAGTCCTCTTTTAAGATTACAATTGTGAGATTAATACCAGGTGAGCGATGCAGGCCCATTGGGCCTCTTGTTTCACTTATGACTGTGTGTCGGGTGGGATGGGAGGCCACTTTTTTAAGTACAAGGAATGATTGATTTCTCAAAATACTTTGTCTTATTTTTGAACTGTTCATTGACCTTTACTTTAAATGTTCAAAATAGTAAGGCTAAGTCTTGTGCATAAGGCTTTTTTAAATTTTGATAATTATGTTCATGATAACTTAAAAATTCAGAACATTTTTTCATTATCACAAACAGAAGAGTTACTTCCCTTTTTTATCTTTATGTCTCATCTGGGAATTGGGTTAAATGCTGTTAATACCTGGTCTCTGTATCTTTCTATGTAAAGGTAGCTTTGGCTACATAGTTACATGCTTTGTTAGATTTTACTTACATGGTTACCTGAGAAAATGCTCATTTGAATGGCTTAGCTTTATTACCGACACAGAATAGCAAAATGTTCAAAACCTAATGGAAACCTGTATGATATACAACCTTGTTAAAATGTTGAATATAACCTAGAGTGGAACTATTGATGACTATGTGATGGATGACACACGGTCTTATTACTGTGTAGGGGAGATTACTGTGTAGGGGAGATTACTTTGTAGGGGAGATTACTGTGTAGGGGGGGGGGGGATTACTGTGTAGAGGAGATTACTGTGTAAGGGAGATTACTGTGTAGGGGTGATTACTGTGAAGGGGAGATTACTGTGTAGGGGGGGGGGGATTACTGTGTAGAGGAGATTACTGTGTAAGGGAGATTACTGTGTAGGGGAGATTACTGTGTAAGGGAGATTACTGTGTAGGGGAGATTACTGTGTAGGGAAGAAATTTGGCTGCTGTTTAATTTTCGCCTTTTTTGTCTAGGTCAAATTTATCATTACAGTGAATCGAATATTGCACTAGTAGTAAACAACATAATTACATAGTAATTAAAGGTGAAAGACAACATTGACATGGGGCGAATATGGTTTATTCCTGGTAAACAGTATTGTCAGGCAATTCATCAATCACATTATTCTGATCTTTCAGAATATGTCTTGAATAGTTGTTGATTCTTTGCATAAAGTGTTAATATCCATATTTACAATACAATTTTCATATTATTTTCATCCGTATCTGTACAGATGGTTAAGTTCTGCAACAAGACGAGGACATGTAGCCTAAAAGTGTTTCCGTTTGATAAATTTCCATCACACGTTAGATACCTGGATACCAAGAGTTATCGGCCCTTGGCTGTACAGGTGAGTAAATAAACAGGTGCTGTCTGAACTCTATTATAAATGGTGTCCTTTGGCTAAGACAGTGGCTATCCAAAACATCTCTAACTTTCATTTACCTAGGCTAAAATGACAAATTATAGATTTCTTTGAGGGAGAGGATGTGAAAAAAATTAACACGTCTGCAGGAAACATTTACTAGTCCTTCATATTTTTTACTTGTCCAGGACTAACAGACTAGTGTTATTGTTGAACCTGTAACTTGGAATATATGTACAATCTATATTTATACCATGTTTACTGTTAAATAATGCAAAAATGTACTTTTTAAAAATAAAGAAGTTTAAAAGTGCCTTTTCCAAATTAGCTAGAAGAATGTGTAGCTGTCATTGAATTGATGTTTTAGGAGACACTTAAGGAATATGGAGCTGTGATATGGCTGGAGCCGCCCGAACACTTCACCACCAGCAAGCTCAATAAGGTATTAGCTCAGGCACAAAAGGAGGGAATCGCGGCCTGGACCATCCAGGAACCTGCCTCTGCTCTTATCCACCCAAAGATGTTCAAATATTTCAAAACCAAGCAGAATAATTACTTCTTTTTAAGGGCAGCAAAAGCCAACCAGTTGATTATTTACAACACAGAGAAAATACGACAAGATTTGATGTTACCATGGGTTAAATGTGCGTTAACAGAAGAATGCATAAATCCCACAGGTGCTCAGAATTTTGGCTGTAATTATGATCTTAAACCTCGTTTTAGGTACATGGGCTGTCATAAATATGACATGGCCGCCCTTAATGTTATTCTGGGATTAATGTTTGACTTTTCTGAGTCGCCGTACGAAGTGGAAGAGGAAATCTTTGGTGTTTTGGTGACGGAACAGAATGGGAATTCAACTTCTCCACGATATGTTACCCGGGACAAACTCACTCAGATTAGCTAGTCAGTACCCACAGAACACAATGTAATGGTAAAAGTTGGAACAAGCTGTGAATTAATTTTATTGCCAGGTGTTATGTATTATATCTAGGATGTTTGTGCTTTACTTTTCACAATATGCTAATTGAAGCAGACCCTATCAAATTATAAAAAAAATTGGGCATAAAATGGGAAAAGTACTAATCTTAAAGAACAAATAGGGAATTTTAAGTCCAGCAGACAGGTAAAACCACTGACACTAGCTTGTCTGTCAATACACCTATAACTATATGTTTATTCACAGACAAGTTAGGCTAATGCCTGTGGTTTAGACTTCTCATGTAGAGTAGAGGAAACAGGTATATGGGTAAGAATTATCACACAATTTGTATTTTGATTCAATCAGATCAATAAAACTCGTTTAGGTATATCGGTCTGTATCAGGATAATGGTAAGATAGGGCACACAACATACAATGTACAGTATCAGGTAACTCGGTCTGTATCAGTATAATGGTAAGATAGGGCACACAACATAGAATGTACAGTATCGGGTAACTCGGTCTGGATCAGTATAATGGTAAGATAGGGCACACAACATGCAATGTACAGTATCAGGTAACTCTGTCTGTATCAGGATAATGGTAAGATAGGGCACACAACATACAATGTACAGTATCGGGTAACTCGGTCTGTATCAGTATAATGGTAAGATAGGGGACACAACATACTATTTACAGTATCAGGAAAGAAAAACAATGCAATTATTGAAACTCCCATACAACGCACACTTTGTTTGTAGCCTATTATGTTGATATTCATTGTTATAGTTTCCTTAATTGAAAATGGTAATTACATCATTGATTATTCTCATTAAATTTCATAAAAAAATCGTCATTGAATCATGTTTACTGGAATGAAACAAAACAAAATTGTTAGTAATTGTTTTGCAAATTTTCTTAATAAAAAGTAGAAGAAAAAATGAGATTTACATTTAAAGGAATTAACTGTGTTCATATAAAGATAGACTTGGATTTTCTTACTTCTGCTTTTTGTTGATTTTGGATGTATTGAAGAAATTTATTTCCATAAAAAAGATGAAAAAACCCCATTATTAAATGACAATTAAGTGCTATACATCAGTTTGAGCACTGAGATGAACTCTTAAATTGCATTAGTTAAATGTATTTCATAAAAAATCTCACATGGTATTTTGTCTTTATTTTTTTTATTGAAAATGTTTCAGTTTTCATATTTGTTTTTAGTCGTAGTAGGAATTTCTTTTAATCATCAGTTCATTTTATCGTGTTCTGCTTAGGAGGGAAAGATATGCATCGCTAAAATAAGAGTTTTCACTTGTTGAAATAATGATAAAAGACAGGTTGATAATTAAGATTTGTCCATTATTTATTTGGTGAGTTTGTAGAAGGTATCGGGTGAGTTTATGTAATGGTGCTTTGTCCGTTTGTCATCTGTTGTGCTTCAAATTTTTGCATGAACTACTGAGAAGATTTTAACCAAATTTTGATGTAAAGTAATACAATTAGAAGGGTTGACCATCCATTGGGTAGAGGGGTGGGGTCAAAAGTCACCGGATCGGCTGATAAACAAAAATTGACATCTTTTTTCAAAGTACATTTGTACTCACTAGTGGATTTCAACCAGAGTTTAGTGGTAGCATGCTTAGCCCATGGGGCTCTGAATTGATACAAATGGAGGGGGTAAAGGTAGGGTAACAATTCCATTAACCCTCTGCCTCAGGCAGATAGATTCTATGTCAGGACTTGTGACAGTTTCAATATTTACTATAACAGTAGGTGGGCTAGAATTATTTTCTAAATATTCCTGCAGTTCTAAAGTACTCTAAATAGGCAATTGTATACCCCTGCAAAAGGTCACATTTTCTTATCTGCTTTAAATGACTACATCTCCAAAACTACTGAGCAGATTTAAACCAAATGGTAGTGTAAGCATGCTTATCCCCATTTGGATCTAAAGTTTCACAAATGAAGGGATTGACCCTCCTGAGGGCTAAGGCAAAAGATGTAGTTTTGAAATATTTACTTTAAATGGCATCTCTTCCCAAACTAATGGACAATTTTTACCTAAATTGTTGTGGCAGCATGGGTAGTGTCCTTAGCCCATGGGGATCAAAACTTATAATGACCTTAACATTCCTGGAGCTGACCTCCCAAACTCATGTCCTCATATAATTGTATTAACTTGATTTCCAAAATAGCCAGGTGAGCGATTTCAGGCTCTTTTGACCAATTGTTTAGCATGTGTGCTGGTGTGTTACACAAATGTGTTACATAAGTGTATTCGTCCCATATTTATTTTATGTGTGTTATAAATAAAGGCATTACTCATCGTTACTGTCCAAAGCTTATTTGGTTTTTATCTAGGCTTTGCATGTATTCGTCTGATGTTTATTTAGTATACTTGAATAACACGTTATGTTTTACACATCAACGCCCCTTTCTCGCCATTATACACAAGGCTTCCTCACTGGTTTTTGTTGTAAATATAGAGGTGTGGGTGCCATGTTTAGTGGTAAAATTAGACTTTATCAAAAATAAAAGTTTGTTTTGAATGAAAAATGTCCATGAAGACTGTGATATCAGCACATGTTTTTACAGTAGAAGCTGTTCAGAGAAACCAACACTTTAACAATAAAAGTGGTTTCAAAAGTGACTTCCTTAGCAGGTTCATTATAATGCAACTCCTCGGCAGATCATGAGTGGAGGGAAGTTTTGAACCTTTGTTTTGCACTTCTTATGTATCAGCAGCACAATATTGGAACCCCCCCCCCCCCTCCATCCCCCTACAACACAGACACACTCACATCTTTCCTAGAAAGCTGTTTTAAGATTCACCTCTGCTTGTAATTATGTAGTTCTAGATTGCTATTGGTCAAATATGGTTTTGGTAGTATATGATGATCTAAAGTTAAGTGAAGTATACAAAATATTGACTTTCAACTAAAGGCCCATAAAAAGCATATTTTACAAACAGTAGTTATGATTATACCAATGACATGTTTACACTCAAACAAAACCTACCATAAAGCAATGTATGCTGTAAGTATTGTTACTGTGTGTGGGTGTTCTGAAAATGATCTTAGTACAGTACTAAAGTAGTCTGTATTGTAAATTGTGTCCACAAGTTATCTCCCCTTAACATAATTTATCTGTAAAGCAAACATATCATGGCATATTATGACATAGTTTCCTAGGTGATTGTAATACCCCAAATAATTCCAGTGTTTCTTAACCATTCACAGTTGTCTTTGGTGACCTAGACCAAGACTATCAGATTTTAAAAGGAATTGTTTATAAGTATAATTTTCAGCATTGATTATCTAATATTTGGTAATATTGATTATAAACAGTGTAATTTGAAGCCATGTTGACTTGTTCATGTAGCCATCCAAGATATCCGGCTTGATTGCATCAGTAGCTCACATATCCTTGATATTCCAGAGGTTAAGCTCACTTACATTCTGGGGCCCCCTGGGATATCTTGTGACCAGATCGGAGACATGTGGCTAGCTATTTGGTTGGTTTCAGGTAACAAAATCTCGCCAATCACCACAATGTTATTTGTCCTTTGAATATTTCAGAAGCTTCAAAGTGGGTCAATTTTAGCATTATGTTGCTGTGAAATCCTTTAATGTACATCTGATGATTAACTAACCTTCTTGTATCATCAACAAGGTGCCACATACAAAGCATCTGATATCGTCATGACATATTCCAGGATTGCAGAGCATGTAAGTAAGCCTAACCCCTGAAATTCAAGAATGTATGTATGTATGGTGTCGAGGATATGATGTTTAAAGATTACTGCAGAATTTGCTAATATGAGATATAGCAATTTCTGTTCAGTATCTTTTGAATGTTTTGCTGTTACCATCATGATTTAAAATTTAAACTGAATACTGTTTTATTCAGAAATCTATAGAAATCATACATTTAATATATCATTGTTACTTTATCTGTTATTTTGTAAAAGAGAATGTCCAAACTAACATATAGGACCCTATGGTGCTTATTATAGCAATACTGTATAGTTGCTAATATTTATAAGGGTTTTAAATTTGCATATTTTTCAAATGTGTTAAATTCACGAAATTGGAAGCCTCGTTAATATTTTGAGATCCTCGTGTTGTTCGTTGCTAGTAGTAACAAGCACTTGGAACTCTTTGCGAGGAGTTCCAAAGTAGACTTACAGAAATTATGATTTGCGAGATTAAACCCCCATGAATAAGTTCTGGACACAAAATCAGGAACTTTTAAACCAGCAAAATTTAACAACTTTACGGTATTTAGTTCCTATGGTGTTTAATTAACTAACAGTGTGGTCCTGTGGTGTTTCATAAAACTTGTTGTCAATTCATTGATCATCTTCCACAATGAAATAATCAGAAGATTATGTATGTAAGGTTCGTGTCATAGACTGTGATTGCTATATTACCACATGATATTAAACAAGTTATCTCCCTTTATGTAAAAAAAAATTAGTCATGTTAGGTATTGGGGATATGGAAATTCTGATTCGGATTTTTATTTTTGTTGAAGAGATGATGTCACATTTCAGTACAAATATCACCAAGGCACGGAACATTTTTAACTCAAATTATTTGCTTTTTTGTTAGAATTTAGAGAATGGTAGTTTACAAACAAGAGATCACTGGGTGCCCCTATTTTGTATGTGGGATCCTGCATGGGTATCCCTAGTGAACCATGTAGAGTTAGGAATACATCATTACATGCTTTTTTTGTTCATAATAATAGCAAACAATAGAAGAAACTTTAACAATGACTGCATGTATTCCATATTTTTTTTCAATCCCGAAGTTTCAGATGTTAAGCACTAGGCAAGTATTCTCGAAAATTGCTTACAAACTTGATGGTGGTGAGGTCATTATTCAATTTACTTCTCCATACAATTATTTTTCTGAGTTGTCTCCCCTACTTGAGATAAATTGCTGCTTCATACAATTGTTTTACTGGATTATCTCCCCTGATTGAGATAAATTGCTGCTTCATACAATTATTTTACTGAGTTAGCTCCCCTAATGCAGATACATTAATTCTCCCTTAATTTTTATACTTTGCTAATGAGTTATATACCATGATTGATTAATTTTACAGTCTAACATATATATCAAACATTATCATAATTGGTTCAGTATAATGCACTATTGGGTTATCTCCCATTTGTCCCTATTGTATATATATATATATTACAGAAAAATCAATAAATAAATCATTCATCAAGCTTTTTAAGGACAGCAAAAGTACAGGGGCCCGTTAATTAAACTACAAAAAATTCTGCTCAAATGCAACAGTGACATTATGTTTCAAGCAATTTTCCTGCCTGCTTTTTCTGCTTATGTATAAACAAGTATACAGACAACTTAAAGGCCGGGTATTTTAGTAGACTTTTGTTTTAAATTTCCTGTTTAGATTTTTTTTGCTCATATTTTTATTTTCTTAGATTTTACCTTTTTTGTAGACGTTCTCCAAACTGTGGTAGTTGGTCTTCATTCTAGACAAGTCGGTGAGTTTTATAATTTCAATGTTTTTTTAATAGATGGAGTTACCAAGGTGCTTGTAAATAACTAACAAGTTATTTGTGGAATGTGCGAGTGGGCATCCATCAAGCCTCTGACCATGCTAACTGTTGCTGAACTAGTGAAGGTGTCCCAGGGTTATACCTTATTGGTGGAAAAGCTAGATTGCCAGTAAGGCAGTATTTTCCTTGCATATTTCTTTGTCGTTACATTTGACAAACAATTAGATTCATATGTCAAGTATTTTATTCTCGATTGATAGTTTAAACACGATTCCACAATTGCCTGTTACCAGGTAAATGAAATCATGTCCTGCCAAAGTTAATATAAAGGTCATAGGTCAGTGTACTCCATTACTGTCCTGTCAAAGTTCACATGAAGGTCATAGGTCAGTGTACTCATTCACTGTCCTGTCAAAGTTAACATAAAGGTCATAGGTCAGTGTACTCCATTACTGTCCTGTCAAAGTTCACATAAAGGTCATGGGTCAGTGTACTCCATTACTGTCCTGTCGAAGTTCACATAAAGGTCATGGGTCAGTGTACTCATTTACTGTCCTGTCAAAGTTCACATAAAGGTCATAGGTCAGTGTACTCCATTACTGTCCTGTCATAAAGGTCATAGGTCAGTGTACTCCATTACTGTCCTGTCATAAAGGTCATAGGTCAGTGTAATCCATTACTGTCCTGTCATAAAGTCATAAAAAGGTCATTATATTGACAAGTGATAATGTTTCCAAGCTTTTAATCAAATATGATGTAACACAAAGTGTGTATTTATTGTACATGTTTCAGATTTGTGAAACAAACTGTATATACATGTTCATGCTTCAGTATAAAAACTGTTTTATAATTCATTTCTTACTTTCATTTGTAACAAACTTTTTATCTTTACTGTACATTTTCATTGCTTCAGATTTGTTTTGAATTGCAGTATATTAGTATGGTTTATGATTGAGTTGATATTAAACAAAACATTAATCGTAAAGGTTACAGGGATTTCATAACAAGTTAAACAAACTGTTCACAAATTTCTTCAGTTAAAAGTGAAAGTATATGAACAATGATTCAGACAGTGGAAGCTCATTCATTCATTCCAGATGGTAAATCAACTTATAGAATTTCTGTCTTTTTTGTGACATTCTTGAAGCACAAACGTCCATACTTATTTTCATCTAAGAAAACAATTTTCTTTGTTATGATAATATAATCTTTTAGATGACAGGAAAATAACAGATATACTACAATGCCAGTCTGGTGATAATGAGGAGTTGATCTGGCTTCTACGGTTTTCTTTGAGCTCCCATGTACCAATTCCAAATAATGAGAAGGTTATCTGTTGATACAGTATCTTATTGTCGTAATAATTTCTAAAATTGTATGCCACTTGTTGAGAATTGATGTACATTTCTATGGAAATGTGGTTTAAAATAAAATACTGATTGTCTCTGTCTTATTGATATGTTGTCTGATTTAAGTTGGTTTGAAAGTTAATTAAACCTAATTAACACTTGGACGAGTTTCATGGGCTTTATGCTTTAGGACCAAGTTTGAAGTCAATCACAGATTATGTAACTAGAGAATAAGTATTTATTGGCAAATCAGAAGATGCCAGGATGGCCATTCTTCATTTGCATCAACACGAAAAATGCATGATAAAATTGATCTGGGATCTCCTACAGAAACCCCAGTATATATAGTTTACAGTGTATCTCTGCTACCCTTCTTGAATTGAAGTCAAAAATATTTATGTCGCAGCCAACCAGAGGCCAAGGTGGCCATCTTAGGATTTTCAGGCTGGTCTCAAAAAACAAGTAGATTTGGCCTTTGGAGCCACATCTGTACCAATTTGGGAATAGATTGCTCTGGTCATTTTTGAGAAGAAGTGGACAATTTCTCGACGAATCAATGACCAGAGTGGTAATCTTAGATTATCAGTTCCATACAAAAAGTTGGATACTAACAGGGGTGAAAGGAAAATTTGTACTGAGTTTAATTTGGAGTCCATCACTTCAGTTTTCTGGAAAAGATATTTGAAAACATCTTAGCAATCATAGACCATGACGGCCATCTTGGATTTTCGGCTTGGCATAAAAAGGTATTTTTAAGACCAGAGGCTGGGGTGGCTGTTCTGATTTTTGAATTTGAATGAAAAGTTACAATATTTGGTCAGGATGTCACAAGGAACACATGTTCCAAGTTTGGAGTCCGTTTCAGTGGTTCTTGAGAAGAAGCAAACATGTTTTGGCTAATTAGAGGCCAAAATGGCCATCTTGAATCCTTAGATCGGTACAAAGAGTAACAATGCTTGGTCTGTTAGTGAGGACCTCTTCAGTAACATTTGAACCAAGTATTGAGACAATCACTTTAATGGTTCTTGAGAAGTCATTTTTTGGTGTGGCTTCATCTCTGGGACTTAGAGGTGGTTTATAATCAACCAGGTTGTATTGGAACCATTCTCAGAATTGACTCGAGGGCCTGTCTACACCCCTAGGGACTTAAATCATGGACCATAAATTTGAAACAGTTGAGATATCGACCCTATACCATATACATGTATATCATTGCTGTGCTTAAAGAGCTAAACACAGTCATGATATCAGAATTGACTCTGGAAACTGGCCCAATACCTAGAGACTTAATTCCTGGGACATAACTTTGAAATAGTTGAGATTCCAATCCCATAACCACATATACAATTGCGGAGTATAGAAAGAGGAATACATATATGCCACCAGGATGGATCTGGGATCCGGCCCATTACCCTTGAAGACTTGGTCCCTATGTCATAACTTTGAAACTGTAGAGATCCCCACTCCATAATCATATTTTCAAGTTGCTGGGCATAAAATATGGACACAATCATGCTACAAATATTGGCCTTGGGGTCTGCTTCTGCCCTTAGAGACTTAGTAACTCAGCCATAACATGGAAATATTTGAGATCCCTAGTCTGAGGATATATACAATTTCTGAGCATGAAAATTAGGATATGCCTTTGCTATCAGGATTATTTCCAGGGACTGTCCCTGTCCCTGGGAACTTATTTGCCAAACTGTATTTTATGAGAATAAATTACCATGATTACATATAAATATCCAGGTAAGCGATACAGGCCCTCTGGGCATTTTGTTATAATCATCATCACCAAAACTTTTACCAACACCGACATTAATTGAGTGACTACAAAACAGAAGTCCCTTCATCCTTTGGGTAAGTCTAGTTGTATTGTGAGTAGTGTAGCCTGGCAAAACAAACAAAACAAATAATCAAAGACATTAATAGAAACTTTTCATCTTTTTATTCAATTTTTCCCCACAAAACTTGTATGTCTCTTCATGATCACATTTCCTGTTTATCCCAACCATGCAATCATGTAATAAAGCTGATGAAGTTTTTAAAACAAAGCTATGTTTCAAAAATTCTATGGTGTTGAAATAAAATATGTACTGGTTCTGCTTGAGCAGATGTTTAAACATTAATACACTAAAACGTATCTTCTGAACCATGTGAACAATGCACCAAACAGCCAAATAGCCAATAAAGGTTTGATAAGTAAACCATACAGAAGTGGAGGTTTCAATACAAGGTATGTACTTTTAGCATCATCCTCAAATTTCCTGATGGCTACGCTCACTTATGTTCTCTGTGGCTAGCTATTTGATTTGTTTCAGGTTTAAAGATAACCTATTGCTAGGCTGATACCTGTCATTTGAAGGCTACAAAGGAGCGACACTCGTACAATGTCAGTCAAATTTACCACTACACTGTGACACCCGTACAACGTCAGTCAAATTTACCATTAAACGGTGACACCCGTACAACGTCGGTCAAATTTACCACTACACTGTGACACCCGTACAACGTCAGTCAAGTTTACCATTACACTGTGACACCCGTACAACGTACGTCAAATCTACCATTACACTGCGACACCCGTACAACGTCAGTCAAATCTACCATTACACTGTGACACCCGTACAACGTAAGTCAAATCTACCATTACACTGTGACACGCGTACAACGTCAGTCAAATCTACCATTACACTGTGACACCCGTACAACGTACGTCAAATTTACCATTACACTTCGACACCCGTACAATGTCAGTCAAGATTACCATTACACTGCGACACCCGTACAACGTAAGTCAAATCTACCATTACACTGTGACACCCGTACAACGTCAGTCAAATCTACCATTACACTGTGACACCCGTACAACGTCGGTCAAATTTACCATTACACTGCGACACCCGTACAACATCAGTCAAGTTTACCACTACACTGAGACACCCGTACAACTTCAGTCAAGTTTACCATTACACTGTGACACCCATACAACGTCAGTCAAGTTTACCATTACACTGTGACACCCGTACAACGTCAGTCAAGTTTACCATTACACGGTGACACCCGTACAACGTCAGTCAAGTTTACCATTACACTGAGACACCCGTACAACGTCAGTCAAGTTTACCATTACACAGCAGTCAAACCTTCTGATGTTCATGAAAAGATCAAGCTAGTCCACTTATATCATTCACAAGGTGTGTACAGAGCCTTTGATTATAGCATTATACATGTGTGCTGAGAATGTAAGTGAAAGTAACCGCTGGGATTTCGAGGATGATTTAGAATGAAATGAAAACTATACTATCATATATCATTAGGGACTGGTTGTTCACATCAGGCAAAGCTTCAGGAGATGTTAACCCATGTTTTCAAAATGTGGTTTTTGATAAATATGTTGTTTTTTTACAAATATTCTGTTTTTTATTATATTATTAATCTGTAAACATACAACTTCTGTTTTAAGTTTCAAATTTACATTTTTGAATATTAAACGTTGCATTAAATTGTAGTTCAACTAATCAGGATTTGAATAAATTTGCACAGGTATCATCCACTGCCATACGTCTGTCACACAATATGTTACCAAACTGTCAAACGGTTCTTCAATAACACTAATCACTCCAAATATCAGAAATACCAGAACGTTGATCAGCACATGATTTCATATATAAATCCGTATAGATTACAATGATGTGTGAATCTACAATTGCTGACTATTACAATCATAAGAATACAGAGAGACTTTACCCTTTCAAACTAAGATATGAGTACAGGACTGGTATTATAAACAATCGGGTGCTCTCTCATCATTACATACCCACAGATACACTTCACAAAGTCTGTACAATTAGTACATAGTAAGATACTTCAGCAATGTTAGAGCTGTAACGACGCCGAGATACTTTGGACATTGACCACATCGCAGTCGCCACAACCATATCTGATGAAGACACAGCCGACCTGCGGTCCCTTATATTCCAAGAGTAAATGTAGAAAAAATCTTCAGTACAATTTATTTTCACATTCATTTATAAGCAATTTTTTCTGTGGTTAATACAAATATTACATCTTGAACATTGGTTCAAATATATCAACAAGTGTTATATTAGGATTTTTTCATTTCCTGAAGACAGTGAGAGATCACAAGATACACCATGAAATAAACAAGCCCACAAAAAATAAGCGATTTTCACTGAAAATTTACAACACCCTTCATATTGAATAATAATTTATATAAGCAGATGATATCCCTATGATCCGAACTGATGGTAACACTTCATTTTATGATAGATTTAAAATCATAAAGTTTAATATACAACCATGCTGCAATTTTCAAACTTTTGTTTCTATATGGTAGTGACACTTACAGACATGTTGACTGCTACACCTCCCACTTTACACACCAGGAAATATAGCATTAATATTTGCAGCAAAGGTTTTATTTATCTTTTAATTTGTAAGTAACTGATGTTAAGTCAATAGTCACATGTATATTGTATATGATTGTGTGTTGAGGCACAACAAGTAAATATTGAAACGTTATGAGGTGGTTTTAACCCTTTCACCCCTATGTAACTTTAATAAACTCTACCATGCATTGGTCTGGGTAAGTCCATTACGGTCTATAGTGGTTAAAGGGTTAATTGATTGATTTTCTGTTTCCTGAATTTCTCAAAAACTGATTGAGGTTGGCCCTATCAATATGATTTGTAGAAATAGTATATGTAATACTGTTTCACATCTTTAAAAAACCCAGCATGAAATTGACACATCGTCAAATCTATGTATACAGGCCAGATTTTTCACTTTGTTTAATTCTGTTTTTTTCTCTCTCTGAATTAACTTTTATACCGAACCAACATCAAATGAACACATATCAAGTATACTTTACCACAGACAATTTTTTTCAATTTAGATTTCAGATTTCGAAAAAATAAATTACATAACTGTGATGCAAATTATTGGTTTCTATGAATTGAGTCTATTTCCCTCGTCGTTTGTGCGATGATCCAGAACTTGGCGTGGCATTATTTGTAGAATCTGATTCTGGTTCCTGTTTAACTTTAAGCCACTTCAGTGGTTTCCTTCTGTACACAGGCCAGGGTGGCAGAGTCAACTGTGAAATGTAGAACAGAATTTTCAATTCATATAAAAATACAAAAAATGTTAAATATCTTGAGCTTTGTTGATTAAATTTAAACTGGACCGCCCCACCCCCATTGTGTTCAATGTGAAAGAACAGTATCTTTAAGTGTTTATCATAAATGCTGTCTTTATGTATACATGGGAAATATCCAGTTACATATGAAATTAATTTAATTCCACTTCAGCTTTATCAATAGATGGCAGAGCTAGTCATAAATACAAAACCACCTACTATACACAAACATTGATGAACTGATGAATGGAAAAAGTAAGTCATATAATTTCATAACATTATTTTTTCGTTGCGTACAATCATTTTTGGTTGCTATGGAACCTTGAAAATAAATTCAACATGATTTTATAAGGTATAATATCCTTGAAAGTTTGTGCATATTATTACCGTAAAAACCCATGTAATTTGCGCACTTTTTTTTCAGAAATTTAATACCCAAAGTGGGGGGTGCGTAAAATACACAGGTATAGAAAATTTCAAGTTTTTTCAGGAAAAGATCGACGATTCTGGGAGATCGCCATCTTGGATTATTTCCCTTATTTATTATACCCGGAACTCTTAGACAAATGACGGTCAACAAATTTATTTATGTCAAACATTAATAAAAGATACATAATGTGTTGTTATGTGAGTTTATGTGAAAAGTATTATTAAATAGGTAACCGTTAACAAAAAAAGTTTAGCCCAATTCCTATGCCAGAGAATCGCCGATCAACTTACGACATTACTTTTCGACATCTCGGTGCGTTTCCCCATACTATTACGAAAATGTAGTTGTTCAATTTAAGCTCCGTTCCATGTAAGTTCTGTAAGGTTTTTTAAAATCGCCTATGCGTAAACGTATAGCATGGTTTTTTTACGGCTCACTTTCATGTTGATCTCGCGTCTAAAATTACGTAAACACGTGATTGATAATAACCTCGTGAATTATTTCAATATTTATCAAATGGAGCATCGTAAAAATAGTCTGCGTTAACTATTTTTTTCCTTGGAGTAGATTAGAAGAGGATGTATTGATTGTCCACGCTTCTAGTATAAACATATTTTCTATAATCCCTTATCAGTCAAATCAGTCTATTGTTATGACAATGCAGGGCTTCGTAATTTACGCCACGTGTTGGCGAGTGAAAAAACAACCAGACGGTCCGTCGATCGCGACTGCAAATCATTTCAATTAGTAGAGCTATTGTTAACGGGTAATCACAGAGATAGTGTTAGCTAATTACTGCATTGTAATTTGTAAAAAATATCGCCAAACCACGGACTTAGATAATCTAATAATTATTAAACAGAGAATCTTTGATAACGCACGGCAAGAATTGTTTGAATTATTAGAGAATTCCTCGAAATGTTTTTTGTATAGACATTTAGTTGATAATTTAACATTACAACAATATTTATGTAAATATATTCCAAAGCGAAATAGAATTGCTCTAACTAGGTTACGTTTATCAGCGCATACGCTGTATGTTGAAACCGGGAGATATCGAGACATTGTAAGAAATGAACGTATATGCAGAATTTGTAACTCTGAAGATATTGAAGACGAATACCATTTTTTGTTCATTTGTCCATTTTATCAAGTTTTAAGAGAAAGACGTATAAAATTGTACTACTAGAAAAAACCATCTGTCTTCAAGCTGATTCAATTATTAAGCACAACGAACGTTAAAGAATTAACTATGTTAAGTAAATATATATATGATGCCACCCAGTTGAGGAATAGCATGATATAATGTTAAAATATATGTAACTACATGCATTTTTTGTCCATTCTCCACTGCGTTATTGCAGTGTCTGCCACTGTATTTATATGTATTGTGTACATACTGATGAGCTGTAAAGCTCAAAGTCAATAAATGAAAATGAATTTGAATTCCGTGGCCAAACTGATCTGTGACATGACCTGGTTTGAAGTGACGTAACCCAAGCCGCCATGATGAGCCCTTCTCACTGATCGTAATTATGATCAATAAAAGGTATCTAATTATGTCTTTCACCAGGAGATATGCACTAGCGGTTATTAAACATCGAATTACTTATGAATTGATATGTTTTTGTAAGCAAGTAAATGTTTTATGTAAAATATTGCTAAAATGAATTGATGTATGCCGATATGCGCACACGTGTGTGTCATGTGTGATCAGATAATTCAAAGAAAACAAGCAACAAAATACACATTTTACGTAGTTCTTCTTGGTTTTAAATATCATTTTACATCAATGAAAAAAAATTCATAGAAATATATATATTTTTTTTTTATTCAGACAGGTGCGCAAATTACATGGGTTTTTACGGTAGTATATGTACCAAAAAACAATCCAAATAGCTTCAAATCACAACAGACACAAATGCTGATTGTAAATAGGGCAATTACAAAAGCAATCTTAATTAAAACAAGTTTTTTATTCCACTCCAATACTCTAAGTTCACCAGTCAAAGGACCTCTGACTGGAAGTCCTTTGACTGGAATGTAGAGTATCAGATCAGTGGAATAAAAGATCTCGTTTTACAAAAGTCCCCAAACCTACCCTCACAGTCGCAAATGATGCCAATAGCGTGACAGTAGCGTTCCAAGGCCCATTTTACACCTAGCTACGTACCAAATGTTCACAAATTCTGTAAACATGCATATTCAACCAATCATATGCCCAAACGACTGCCGCAAATTCTAAACACCACCGAAATTATCGAAAATGTTAACCACTTTTACGGACCTTATCACAACATGTTAAAAATACTTATAACCAATGCTGTTATGCAAGCTTAAATGAACTAAAATCAGATTTATCACCGGACAACTGGGCAGTCCATGTAAAAACAACACTAACCTATAAGTGGGCACACCATATCTTTGTGTACACGGTAGGTGATTAATTGATTGCAGTTTACTCTAGGCTACAAAGGTACATACACATTTGATTTTCTTTTGAGTGAAGTCACTGGCAGATGACAACGTTGGGATCAGTATTTTCAAACAGTTAACCTGCATTTCGAGGTTTGCCAGACATATGGGATTTGAGTGCACAGCGAGATTTAACCCCCACAAATATGTACTGAATACGAAACCCGTGAAATATTGTCCTCGAAAATTTAAAGCGCTATACAGTTCTCTGAATTGTGACATAGAACCATACTTACAAAACAGGAGATAACAAACCCTGCTATGAGAATGTACATGGTCTGTGAAAACTGCTGGCAGATATATCCCCAAATGAAGCCAACCACCTGTAAAAAAACAATGTAGCTTTTATTTGTTAATAACTTAATATGATATTACAACAATTGCCCAAAAAGCCTGTAGCATTCACATGGATTGTTATTTTTATGTGTAAGCTAAGCTATTTTTAAAGACTAGGTGATTTTTTCCCCATTTTAATTTCCCTTGATCTTAGGAACTTCTTAAACCTATATTACAACAGTCAATCCACCAGGGAAAATTTAGGAAACCTCAGACTTCCTGATTCAGAGATAATTTCAAAAAGGAAAGTGTGAACGGATTAGTACACGGTAGGCATCTGCATCTTTGATTTAGGGCCGTAAATGAATTTTCAAAAAATATTGTCTATTCTTTGTTCTAGATGAATTCATTATCCTGATTAACTACGACCCAAAACAAATCTATGATGTTCCAATAGTTTATCTACGACCCAAAACAAATCTATGATGTACCAATAGTTTATCTACGACCCAAAACAAATCTATGATGTACCAATAGTTTATCTACGACCCAAAACAAATCTATGATGTACCAATAGTTTATCTACGACCCAAAACAAATCTATGATGTACCAATAGTTTATCTACGACCCAAAACAAATCTATGATGTACCAATAGTTTATCTACGACCCAAAACAAATCTATGATGTACCAATAGTTTATCTACGACCCAAAACAAATCTATGATGTACCAATAGTTTATCTACGACCCAAAACAAATCTATGATGTACCAATAGTTTATCTACGACCCAAAACAAATCTATGATGTACCAATAGTTTATCTACGACCCAAAACAAATCTATGATGTACCAATAGTTTATCTACGACCCAAAACAAATCTATGATGTACCAATAGTTTATCTACGACCCAAAACAAATCTATGATGTACCAATAGTTTATCTACGACCCAAAACAAATCTATGATGTACCAATAGTTTATCTACGACCCAAAACAAAACTATGATGTACCAATAGTTTATTTAAGTTTTACAGAATGCTGTCGAATCCAATGAGGCATATTATATGTATTTCAATGTATTGAGCATTGGGCAATTTATAGGTATCCTATTTACTTTTAATCTTTTTAACAGTCTGCAGAGTTTCAGTCCCTGTGAGACTGTTTTATTACTTACTTACCCCAAACACCATTATGATGATTTGGAACCATTTCTCAGCTCTTTTCTGTCCATCAAAGTCCTTTATAAAAGATAATTTCAGATAAATAAAATTCCATCTAGCCAATTACATTGAGTTAATGGTTATATTATCTGGTCCATTACATGCAAAGTGAAGGAATTAAGTAGATAAAGAAAGCAAATTATTAGGACAATATATATATGACAAGGGACCTGGTAAATTCCAGATATAAAATGACAAGTACATATTTCACTGCAAAATTTCAATACTGTTTCTGGAATTTCTTTTAAATAACTCTAACTGTTAATCAATATCACAAAACATTAAAGCTCTCATGTTAGGCATTGATACATAAAACAAGAATTACGCGTTATTATATGTCTCACCTGTCCCCATTTGAGCATAAGATTTAATATGTCAAGCATTGTAAGTTTGAGTCGAAGTTCGGAATTTTATATTTTATAAACAAGTTTGGAAATACATCAACATGAAGGTGTAAAAGGCACAAGTGCTAGTTGTAATGGGAGCTGGCCATTACAGATGTCCCCCAAACTAACCTCGCATTCAGAAAAACAAATGTAAGTAGGTGAACGGAAGTCAAGTACATACCAAATTTGAGCAAAATCTAAATATATGTGAATTTCGACCAGTCATGCAGAAGCCAGTATACGAAGACTGTCTAATCATATCAGAAAACGGATGCCGCGGTTGAGTTTGCAGTGCCAAAATACATGTACTTAACAAATTTGATTGAAATCGAACAATAACTGAATTTCGACAAGTCAGAAGCCAGTATAGGTGACCATTATGTCAAATCAGAAAATGGATAATGTGTCTGAGTTTGCAGTGACAAAATACACCTACATACAAAATTTGAGCAAAATCAAACAATATCTGAATTTCGACCAAACATAAGCCAATATACGGCAACCATGTTGTCAAATCACAAACTGGACGCCGCAGTTGAGTTTGCAATGATAAAACACACTAACATACTAATTTTTAGGGAAATCAAACAGTAACTGAGTTTCGACCAATCAGGACCCTATATACAGCAGCCATTTTTTGTCAAATCAGAAAACGGATGTTGCGACTGAGTTTGTAGTGCGAAAATACATGTATTTTCCAAATTTAATTGTAATCGAACAATAACTGAATTTTGACGGATCAGAAGCCCTTTTAAGGTGACCATTTTATCAAATCAGAAATGGATGTTGCAGCTGAATTCACGGTGATAAAATACACATTGTATAAGTAATTAATAACAAAATGCAAAGATGCAAGTATAATCGAGGTTTGGTTATGACAGCACATATACTTTGTGAGATATTAAACTCAACCCCAGCTAAACGGAAAACTTAAACATGGCCCAATTAATTAACAAAGTCCAATTAACAGTAAATTTCAGTTCAAATTCTGGATCTGAAATGTGCGTTTGGATGGTTATATATAAAGATACAAGTATATTCCAGGTTCCATTATGATAGCTTATGTAATAGAGAGAAATTTAGCTCAATGTTACACCATGCACATTGCATCAGTTCATAATGTTTTTGACTCGGTGCCCATAGACACTCTGGCAGTGAGGAAAGCCACCGTCAAAGCAAAGCTTCTTGCAGGGTCATACGCGCTTTAAAGCACCAGAGCGAAATACCTCAAAAACTGCAAGCCATTATGTCTCATGTGCCAAGACAGTAGTGAGGATATCCGCCACTTTGTACTTAGGTGCCCAGCACTGGAACCTGTCAGGAGTCAGTACATACCGCTCATACATCAAGAAACCATTGAAAACTTTGACCATATAGTTGGCTCAACACTCTTCAGAGATGCTGACAAGTTTTTACAGACTGTTCTTGACGTAACCAATTCTCTCCTACCGCTAACTCTACAGAGCAACGAAACAGTGTATAAGATAGAGAACATTTCTAGACATATGTGTTATGCCCTACACCTGCGCAGATGTACTCTGCTGACCATTGTCACTGGAGGGAGTATTTAGACCCTTGTGTCTGACCTCTGCCATTTAATGCTTCAATAAACTCTAGACAAGTAATAATATTGGCTATTCCTGTACATACACTGGTAGTTAGTTCTAATTAACCCTGTACATAATAACTGAGATATAGGTTGTTTAAACTGTCTCTCTTTCTCCTCACATTATAATTCACCATAAACTTAGTCATCAAAGATCATTGATTAAGCTCTACTTTCCCATATACTACTCAGCAAACATTACAATACAGACTTATATAGGGTACATATATGTCTCCCACTTCAGCTATGCAACTTCAAACTGCCAGTTAAATATAGTGTATCTGGCTTCAGAATCAACATACAGCCTCACGAGCTGGTTCTCCTACAAGAGGAGGGACTATTACTACTGTGAAGCTACACAGACAACTTTAACAATTAATTAACAAAGTCCAATTAACAGTACATTTTTGTTAAAATTCTGAATCTTAAATGTGTGTTTGGATGGTTATATATATATAGAAGTATATGTACTTGGAGAGAAATAGAGTTTAACGGAAATGAATCAAGGGGAGACAAATCTTACTAAACTGAAATCCAGAACGATATAATATTCTTTTCAGTATTGATATCCATGGTACTAAGTAAACCTGTAATGCCATGTAAATTGGTAATAATTGAAGAAAACTGTTCGCATATTAAAAAAAAATGACACGAAACACAACTTTTTACAGAAAAAAATGAAACGGTATATTATTTTGTTGTTCTCTGAAATGTATATTTATTTTTGGACATAGTGACTACATCAGTATCTCAAAATGACAAAAGAACATAATCATGCCGTTAATACATTCCCGTATTGCCTTTACAACACACATAAACACATTGTACAACCGAGATTTTAACGTTACTTCAGTAACAATAATGATATTCCGATATTGTCAGTAAACAGCTGCTACATTTCACCCCTTTCAACGCAGACGTACGGTTCATATTTTGTTGAATAAAACTCCTTCAAAATAGTTACAAATATTACCATGTGTGTTGGAATGTTTTTGATGAAAGCTGGAACCAATTTCTCAAGATATTCCATTATCTCTTCTGAAATGTGCAGCAGCAAGCGATGAAGGAAGTTGACGTTGCGTTCAGACCCGGAACTCTTCTATTTCGGAGACAAAAATATTCATATCCGGTTTAAAAAATGGACAACTAATGCAGAGCGGACAGTTTCGTTTATCAAGTCAATGGTGTCATAAGGAAAACATTTAACGTTTGAAAAAATGGGTGTTCCAAAATTTTACAGATGGATTAGTGAACGCTATCCATGTCTGAGTGAGGTGGTAAAGGAGTTCCAGGTGAGACAAACTTTTGTTTATATAATCGACTTTCTCCTGTTCTCGGGTGGTTCAAATATTAGTTTCTGAGAATTGTGCAATATTTCAGCAGATTTTTAATCATTAGTTTCGTTTTCCGTATTACTTTACTGCTATTTATTGTTCTGTTTCAGAATATAAACGGGAATATTAAAATTTCAAAATATTGTGCTATAGTTGGGTGACATGCTCCTGAATAAAATCTTGGACAGTTTCCCAATAGTGTTCACGATCTTCGCCGGCGATTCGGCTCATACATAGATAAAACAGATTTCTTATTTGTACATACTTGTCAACCTCCCTATTTAGGAGGGATACTCCCAATTTTTGACCCTTATATTTTGTTTTTTCAACCTGTGAATTTGCTACACTATTTATGCTTACCATATATTCTAAGATCTAATGATTTCATCTAAAAGAACAATTCAAAATTGTTATTTAAAGGGTTATTTTGTCCCTATGGGGTATTGCACACATTTTATTTATGTTTGAATTTTGAGCATTCATATTCTTCCCCATGAACAGATTGGGCACAACAGCTCATATGGGTAATAATCCTGCATTTGGGTGACAGTTACCCATTTGAAAAACAATTTTATTTCTGAAATGGGGAATAAAGTGAAATAAAAACACAGAAAGTTCTTTTAAAAACTTGGAGCGAAAAAAGGGCGTTATTCTTTCAACTAAATCCAATATATAACACAAAGAAGTACATTTTTACACAAAAAGTTATCGATTCTGATGATAACCTTTGGTGAAAATGAAAAACCATATATCACTGATTTTGTTCTCCGTTGACTATTTGCGTGCGTTCTGTATGGATTTACTTTGATTGTCTTTTATGTCTGTTGTGCCCAACCTGATGGAAATTTTAAAATGTTGGCAAGTATGTTTGAAAGATGTAGCTACTTAAGATTGTAGTTAAGTCTAGTCACAAAATAAATGTTCTAACATTGTTTTAAGTTAATGTTGCAATATTTGTTGTGTCTTCACATTCCTGTAGCCTGTAGGAATTTTTTACAGGTTTCTATTTATGAACAAATCTAGACGAAGTTTCTACCGAAAACAAGTTATCAACAAAGCTACCTCAACTTAACCCGATAAAAAAAACCCACAGAAGTCACAAAAACATAACCGATAGGCTCAGAAATCCCATATATAACAGCTATAGACATTTATTGTGTAAAGTCAATAGCAATAACATCCAAGGGTACAGATCAGGCGAGTAGTGATGACACGGTATTGTATCACTATTAGCCGTCAATGATGTCCCGTCATAGATAAGAACTCGTCTATTTTGATCACTTTATTTATACGTGTAAGTCACAAATGATGGGACAATCTGAAATACAGTAAAGCACAAGTTGTATTACATATGTCTATATTATTCTCTAGTTCAAGCATTAGGTTAAAATTAGTTGAATTATATATGATTATATGTCCATTATTTATGATACTATCACAGTAACACACATTGGGATTGTACAATTCACCATAACCTCAACTTGTCAAGTTCCATTTCGGCTTAAATTTCCTGTCTGTATTAGGGCCGGGGAACATGTAGTTTGAGTATCACATGACCAATACCCTGGGCAAAGAAAGTTTGAATAACCATTTTTTATAACATTGTTTCTGGAATATTCTGTACACGGCTGAATGGTTCAACTCCATCCTTAAACTCTTGTGGTCTGTGGTCAATTTCCTCAAAGTATCGGTAAGTTCTGTTCAAAATGTCCCTTCATGCATTCATACTTTGGCGCAGTATTTGGGATAGAGTGGATCCGAAAGGATGCAAGGGATAGAACAAATTAAGGTATATAGCGCTAAAGCCTAAGGTTCAGAAATGTGGAACAAAAAGATTTACATAATGGTTAGTTACATTATGACGATATATAATAGTTATATTACAAAGTAAGTACACAATACTGTTAAACATATTTTCCTATTGTTGCTGGAATATTCCTTACAAAACTGAATTGTTCAACTCCATCCTTAATCTATTATTAGGGTTGTGATCTGTGGTCAATTGCCTCAAGGTTTTGGTAAGTTGTGTTGTTCCAAATGCTATACTATGGCACAGTATTTGGGATAGTGGATCCAGAAGAATCCAGGGATCGAAGGTTAATAAATACTAGGTGATCCAACACTCCTACCGCATGGTTCTACATAAGGAGTGTTGGATCACCTATTATTTATTATTAGCTCACCTGGCCCTCGGGCCAGGTTAGCTTATGGCATGGTGTGGCATCCGTCGGCCGTCTATCGGCCGTCGGCGTCAACTTTTTACTTTAAACAACTTCTTCTGAATAACCAAAAGTCCCAGGCTGATGATATTTGGCCAGTAGCATGCTGGGATGAAGGGCTACCAACTTTGTTCAAATGAATGACCTTGACCTACTTTCAAGGTCACATGGGTAAAATGACTTAAATAACCAAAAGGCCCAGGGTACTGATATTGGGCCTGTAGCATGTTGGGATAAAGAACTACCAAGTTTGTTCAAATGAAAGACATTGACCCACTTTCAAGGTCACATGGGTCAAATGTCTTAAAATCTTCAAACAACTTCTTCTCAATAACCAAAAGGCCCAGGGCACTGATATTGGGCCTGTTGCATGCTGGGATGAACGGCTACCAAGTTTGTTCAAATGAATGACCTTTACACACATTCAAGGTCACAGGGGTCAAATGTCTTAAAATCTTAAAACAACTTCTTCTCAATAACCAAAAGGCCCAGGGTACTGATATTGGGCCTGTAGCATGTTGGGATAAAGCGCTAACAAGTTTGTTCAAATGAATGACCTTGACCCACTTTCAAGGTCACAGGGGTCAAATGTCTAAAAATCTTCAAACCACTTTTTCTCAACAACCAAAAGGCCCGGGGTACTGAAATTGGGCCTGTAGCATGCTGGGATGAAGGACTACCAAGTTTGTTCAAATGAATGACCTTGACCCACTTTCAACCTAATGTCCTTGTTCGACATTCAAGGTCACAGGCATCATATGTTTAAATCTTTTAATAGGTTCTTATGAATCAAATACTGATATTCTGCCTGTAGCTGTATTTTAGTCCACTTTTAAGATTACAAGTGTGAGATTAATACCAGGTGAGCGATGTAGGCCCAGTGGACCTCTTGTAATTATTATAGATTAGAAATATCCAAAAGCAATGTTAGCATATCCTTCCCTGTTATTTTTAAGACATTTTAACACCAATTATTGTCTTAAAATAGTGTCTTCTGTTTTGATTGTTTTTCCTTGCGTGAAGGGGAATAGAATTTTGTGATAAAAATCCACACTTCATTAAAATATTTTCTTTTTATTATCCACTGTTCTGTTAAATCATTGTGTAACCCTTGGCCTTCAGGGTATGTTAGCTGGTAGCTATATTTTAGAATTAACACAGTTGTTTGACTGTAATTATTTTCAATAAAAGTGTAGCAAAATTGAAGCAAATAAGTTTGGAGACTCTAAATTAAAGATCATGTATGTCTTGTATTGTTATACATGTACATGTAGGATTCAGCTGTATGTGGAATATTCCAGAAGCAACAGGATGAACTGTATAAGACTACTTACGTCATAACTATTATGTTGTCATAATGTAACATACCATTATGTAAAAAAAAATTGTACCACATTCTGTACAGTGTACCTTATAGGCTTCAGCCTCTATATATCTTTGTCCTGATGATGGCCGCATAGCAGGCCGAAACCTGTAGACAGTAAATCACACAAAACGTCCTTGTAGTGTGAGGATTCCTTGATTTCCTTTAAATGTATGATTTCAGTACCATTTGTCTGCAATATTATGCTTAGTACTTCAATAGACAGATCTATGCCAAGAAGAAATAATAATAATAATCACTTGATGTAAAATTCAATACAGTAATACACAATTTAAACTTCAAATATTAAGTAATATGTGCTTTCTGATAAGCCTTTTGATATCAGAATGAAATCAAGTCCACTGTCATATGATTTTCTATTTTTAATCAAGATAACTTTATCATATAACTCAAGTTTGAAAGTTATTTTGGTCATTATAACTTTTTTAAAGTTTAATCAAATAAAAGAATTATTTATAAGCCATTTTATTACAGGGCTAAAAACATAACAAAAAGAGTTTTTCCCTGAAAGAGAGATAGCGCATATGTATTGGTACTAAGGCAAGATCAATACTTATCTACATATACATCCATATATTATGGGTTACCAAAGGTCATAGGTCGATTTGATCATCATTTTCAATCAATATGACATATCTTTTATTTTGGCATAAACTGTAAGATATTAGTTAGTTCAAAGATTACAAATTGTAATTACCCAATGTATGTTTTCTGTTGACAATATGGTCTAGAGAGGCTATGGTGTTCTCATGATCAGTGCCTGTCTGGGATATGTCTTTTAATTATAATAACAGTAAGGTGAATTTTGGGACAATAAAGTCACAAGAGGTCAGTTTAGACAGCCTGGGTGTGTCTGGTACCCAGAATTCTATAGTTAATTAAGATTGATGGGTTTTGTGTGGCCGATAAGGTTTGAGAAACACTTTGTTTCAGGGAGTTTAAGTGAGTACAGACATTTTGAGGAGCTCCAGTTTTGTTAATTTTATATCCTTTTGTTATGTTTTGTGATTCACGACTTTGTCTGTGTGGAAATTTGTGTAAATAGGGTCCAATATTTAACATTGTCATCCTCCACTTGAACCCGGACAAAGTAAAGCAAACTTTTTAACAGAAGTCAATAATTAGGTCACGAAATTAAAAATCAACGTCAAAGGGACAGTATATATATAAATATGACATGCATCCATTTGTACTTGTTATACTGATGCAAAGGTAAATGTAAAAGATCACCCAAAGTCATAAGTCAAACGCATAATCATTCTGTATCAATAACACATAGTTTTCATTTGTATATGTTATATGTATACTATTGCAGAGTTATATTTAAATGTCAGCATAAAGGTTGTACAATATATATTGTTTATCAGTTTGATAATTACTGATGTAGAATTCAGCCAGTTTGATCATTACTGATGTAGAATTCAGTCAGTTTGATCATTACTGATGTAGAATTCAGTCAGTTTGAGCATTACTGCAGTAAAAAAATCAGTATTATACAAACCTCTTTTTTGCACTTTTAGTGTTAATCATATAACCAGTGGTCAATATATAGGTCACCAAGTATTGGTCGGCCCAATAGGTTATTTTAATCATTATTATCAATCAATATAACAAAATGTTCGTTTTGCACATTTTTGACTAAAGTAATGTTTTATCACATGTCAACCATCCACCCTGTCTCTGTAGACCAGCTGTGTAAAGCACTGGGGCATTTAGATTTCCCATGACATTTAAACAGGTGCCCCTTGGTCATGCATATGATCAGCTACACCCAGTTCAGCCGAGGCATTTCAATTGGGGACACAGCTCCTAATGGGATGCTGTCAGATGTAATATCAGTAGGGATTTATAAAGGTAATTAGATTGTCAGCAAGCTGATCATGACACCTAACAGGATTGGAAACTCCATGATTTAAAATGAATTCTCAGTAATTGTTAGGGACTTTTTTAGTTACTCCATTGATTGTTTCCCCATCAGACCTGAACATTCTCAAAAGTGGATTTTAATTACGCCATAGGTACAACCCGACCCCACCACCTGCAGAGAGATTCCCAAAATAACAGTGGTTTGTTTTCACAGAAAAATAATTTATCTGTTAAAAATCACAGTTCACTTCATGTCACACTTCCAGTGACATTATGGATGAACATTATCTTTGTCAAACTAAGGAGAGAGACAAACATTTAGATAAGGGGGGTGGGGCAGAGAATCAGTGATTGTAATTAATTGGTTGATGAGAGAGTCAGTGTTAGAGCTATCCATCTGTGAGAGGGTCAGACATTGTTTATTTGTTTTAAGATTAGAAGTGATTATTTGAATAAAGGGACATGATTGAATTATATGGCAGCAATTAATGTTGTCGATTAGCAGCAAGAGATTTAGGGAGAAAAGATGAAGAAGTCGAGGGAGCAGAACCTTGTGTGTGGTCTGAGTGTGAAGTATGATAAGTTGGTGTCAGAGGGTCAGTTTTAGGAAGTACCGACAGAGGGACAACATGTAACAAGAGGTCATCATAAAGTACAATATCACAATGATATGGTTGACCGTAAAGCAATCATCTTACTATGCTAGCGTACAATAATATAGTGGAAACTATTACACTCCTCATACAATGATAAACACAATATTACACTGTTCATACGTACTATCATACCTTATTATAATAGACAATATAACGCACTGCTCATACAATGACACTCACCATACACTGTGATATACAGTATTACACTCATTTTACAATACTATTACGATGATATAATATATAGCATTACATTCATCCGTATATACCGTGCGTTCACACAGTGGTATAGCAGGCACTGTTGCATCCATCTTACAGTACAATCCTACAATAATATTATTACAGTATTACACATATATCACTCGCACTCCATGATACATGTATTATAGATAGTATACCACACCATACAGTGCAATCATACCATGGCATAATAGTGACTATCATACTCATCATACCATATAATATTACAAAGGTATAATAGACAGTGTTAAAATCCAATCATACAAATTTCTGAGGAGTACAAAAGGATTGGGGATATTAATACATCAAACAATTTTAATTGTAGGTCAATTGGTAAAATAATATTTCTTATTTTTTTTTATATAATGCATACATTGCTTTTTGAGTCTGTTCAACAGTTTTTTTCTTGCTTTACAGAAACTGCCATTATAATGAAACAGCAGTCCTAGAAACGAGTAACGGTCATGTGTTTGCAACTCTTCACCAAAAAGAGTAAAACGAATATTTTGTACATAACTTTTTCTTTTTTCAAAGATAACAACTTTAGTTTTATTGAGATTAACTTTAAGTTTCCAAATAGTACAGCAAGTTTCAAATTCACGGAAAGCATTCTGTAGACCTTTAGTTGTTTCTGACATAGCAACTGTTTCATCTGCATATAGCAGAATAACTAATTTTACAAATATACCCATGCGTTCTTGAAATAAATTATCAATATAATAGAGTTGGTCAACATTATTTTGCGTGAAAAATTCTTCTAAATCATTTAAATATATTGAGAACAAAAATGGGGAGAGATTTTCACCTTGTTTTACCCAACTTGACGTGAAAAAATCAGTCATACCATTGCTAGTTTTAGTGTTTGCATACAGATTAATTATAGCATTAAATATCTTTCCTGTGACATTATTCTTTTATAATTTCTTCCATAAACCTACCCTCCAAACAGTATCAAATGCTTTTCTGAAATCAATGAATGAACAAAATAGCTTTTTACTTTTTGAAAAGTATATAGATATTAAAGCATGAAGGATAAATATATTTTCAGTTGTAGAGTAGCCTTTCCTAAAACAAGCTTGAACATTGGAAAGTAGATCAAATTCTTCTGAAAGTCTATTTAATCTAGAGTTCAAAAATACTTTGCCAAGATATGAGACTAATGTAATAGCTCGATAGTTATCGAGATTTTTAGGGTCACCCTTCTTTTTGTATATGGGTTTTATTACTCCAATTGTCCATGCTTCTGGTACACAGCCAGAGTTCAATATAACATTAAAAAGTTTAACATATAAAAAGTTTAACATATATAGGTAGTAGTATAGACTGTGTATTTTTGATATGCTCATTTAATCTATTATCGATACCCGGCGCTTTATTATTACGAAGGTTAACTATAACCTGTCAAATTTCATTTTCAGTCACATCACTATTTACAAATATAAAATAAAGCATTTTTTCATTCATATCTGGAATAATTGATGGGTCGAGCATTGTGATTGTACATCACAGATGTAAATAAACTTTAGCTGTCTATATACGCTGGTACACAGGTGAATCCACCAAATTTTCAAGCAGAAAAATAAAACAAAAACCACTGATTGTTGTCCCCCTTGTTCCCTCCACACCGAACAAGGGCTAGCTATATGACCCTGGCATTAAGTGAATTATGTCATCAACACATGATACACCAATGGCTTCGTAACGAATCACAAAATAAATACACTGGACAAAATGTATTTAGAATAGGAATTCAGCTAAATTAATCAGAAACATAAATGGCAGAAAAAAACAATTAATTTCTAAAGTAGCAGGTAATTTTTCACTGGGAGTAGGTCCAGCTGGAATTCTACTAGAAATGGATATTGATATTAGATTGTTTATTTGTCCTGGTTTTTTTTAAAGATTCCAGAGTTTGACAACCTCTATCTGGACATGAATGGCGTTGTTCACACATGTTCACATCCAGACGATGGCAACCCACACTTCAGGATCACAGAGGAAAAAATAGTTGCAGATATTTTCTATTATTTAGAGGTAATTTTGTTTATTACATGGATGAGTACCAGGTACATGCACATTGATGATTTAATATAAGATGTAGAAACATTGTACCAGGTATCTTAGTTATATGGTAACATTATAAAATTAAAGGTGAAAATATTGAAAAATATAACTGAATTTTATTGTATATTGTTTTTTTGTCCAAAAGTAGAAAAAAAAAAAAAATTACATCAAGAAACACTACATATGATAACCAAACTTTCTGTATTGTTATATACATTATTTTCAGAAATTTTAGAATCTTTTCTTATTAAAGGATCTGGACGTAATTATGGTTGAAAAAGAAACAATTGACATTTTTTTTTATTTTCTTCTCCAAATTTTAAGTTAGTTTTTTTTTTGACTTCAAATTTTAAGTTCAACTTTATTTTTTATTCCAAATTTTAAGCTGCAAAATACCTTGGGACATTGATGTGCATTGATGTTAATTTTATGGCAAAACATTATAAGCTATATCTTTAATTTGCTGTGTTTGATGAAGTAAAAGGTTGAATTAACCTTAACTGATTATGTTAACAGTGTGTATTCGTTTCCTAGTACTATAATGAATATTAATTCTGTCTTTAATAGTTTCTGTTTCGCACCATCAAACCTAAGAAGGTCTTCTTCATGGCAATAGATGGTGTGGCCCCTCGGGCAAAGATGAACCAACAGCGAGGGCGGAGATTCAGGTCTGTGTAGAAACTGTTTAAGGTATACTGTATACTTCTGTAGAGTAAGGCAGCAGACATTTGGGGTGTAGGATAGGGGGTTTGACGCACACTTTCCCGGTGTGAGATATCCTTGCAATTGCCTCACAGTAGAAATGGGGGGGATTCCCCAATAACAACAATTACATGACGTCACGTTAACAATACAATCATTATTTAGATATATACAAGGGAATTGAAAGTTCTTCTCTCATTTGTAGAAATTCCTACCCTTCTGCCCCGACAGTATAATCAGTTGAAATAATACATGATTCTTGTTTTATACAGATCTGCACGAGATGCAGAAGAGTTAGAGAGAAAAGCCCGGGAGTCGGGTGAAACACTTCCGACTGAGAAACGATTCGACTCCAACTGTATTACACCAGGTATAGTATAAAACATTCAGTAAACAATTTGTGATTGCTTATTCTGTCTTTTCGTATTGCAAAGTTATCTTCTCTTGTGAGCAGGTATTGATTGTTACGTCATTTGTTTATGAGAGTAACAATCAATACCTGTTCACAAGAGAAGATAACTCTGCAATACGCAAAGACAGAATTCCGATCATTCGGACATTCTAATTTCAGGTGATGTCTGTACCAGCATCATACATGTATACAATCTCCGCTCTTCATATCAAGTCAAGAATCTTATATACTGCTTATCACAAACTAGTTTGTAAGTCATCTCAAAGTGGTTCACATATTACTAATCGTGGTTATGGGGCCTTTGCAACAAGCCAATATCTTTCTCAACTCCCTGGGGAGCATACAGCCTGTGCTGCCATTTCAGCGCTCACAACTAGCATTCAACAATTCTAGCACTGCCTGACCACGTACTCATTTACAGCTAAGTAGACTGGAACAGCAGAGTAAAGTATCTTGCTCAAAGATACAACACAGTGCCATGCAGTGACTCGAACCCGCAACCCTTTGGTCACAAGCCCGGCGTCCTACCACCAAATTAATTAAAATCTATATCCTTAAACAATCATGGCTACTTTTTTATTAGTCTTATGTTTACTAACTACTATATACAAGGAATTTTTGCAACAGTTTAACTTCACTCTATTTTGCCCTACATACGTATACTGATGGGGTGAATTTTTGTCAACAGCAAATATTAATATAAAACACTATATTAAGTAAGTACATGTGAACTTGAGTTGGTTCTTTTCTGTTCTCATCACTATATTAATAAAAGATGATTTTAGTGTGATCACATGATTATCAGAAAAGTGTATGTCTAGTTGGATATTGATTTTGAAATTGATCCACTAAGAGCTGGCAAATTTTGTTTGATTGTTGTTTCTTGATCAATAGAGTTGGGTTTTGTTAACATTTATGATTGACCAATATATTGTAAAATCTAACACGCTGTTTTGTTATTTGATGACAGGTACAGAGTTCATGGTACGGCTGCAGGAACAGCTCAAGTACTTTGTGGTGAACAAGATCTCCACAGACCCACTCTGGCAAGGTGTGCAGGTGCACTTGTCTGGCCACGAGGTAATACACAGGGGTCTGGAGTAGGAAGGCATTTCCTGTGTATGAAACAGGACAGAAAATAGAAAAATCTGGGGTAAACTCATGTAAAACTGTAATGATGTTCATTAGAGGTAGACTTACAGAGCTTACTTTGAGTGGAGCGACCATCTATTTTTATTAGCTCACCTGGCACGAAGTGCCAAGTGAGCTTATGCCGTGGCGCGGCGTCCGTCGTCCGTCCGTCCGTCCGTCCGTCCGTCGTCCGTCGTCCGTCCGTCCGTCCGTCGTCCGGCGTCAATATTTTACTTTAAACGACTTCTTCTTAATAACCGAAAGGCCTAGGGTGTCAATATTTGGCCAGAAGCAAACTTGGATGAAGGGCTACAAAGTTTGTTCAAATAAATGACCTTCACCTATTTTCAAGGTCACAGGGGTCAAATATGTCAAAAACTTTAAACATCTTCTTCTCAATAACCAAAATGCCCAGGGAGATGATATTTGGCCAGTAGCATGCTTGGGTGAAGGGCTACCAAGTTTGTTCAAATGAATGACCTTCAATTATATTCAAGGTCACAGGGGTCAATTGTATTAAAAAA